CAACAGAATTGTAAGGTTTCTCGGATGGGTGATACCTTTGTTCTTGGCTTTACACCAAAGCCTGTTTGTGATCCAAGTGGGTTTTTATGAAGGAAAGGACAAGTTTTAGGTTCTACAGTCTCAAAAGGGTTTACAACTGGGCACGAGCAACCTCGTGCAAAAGCACACCCACATGTGCGAAAATAGTGGGGGATCCCGGGAGCCCAGAGAGTGTGTGCCCTGCCTTTATTCTGGCCCTCCCTCTGGATGGTTGAAGGTATTGGTTGACACCATTGGCTGAGTTGAGCCCACCTGGGTGAGGTCATGAGCGTGGGCCCAGTTTGGACCACCCAGGTGCACCTCTCACCTGGCTCGGGGACTTGACTAGGAGCATGCTTAGTTTGTGGTCTTCATAGGCTTCTAATGGTTGCCTGATTTCTTCCCAACCTCCTTTAGGGGGCCTTTGCAGGCATGGGAGGGACATACCAGCCCCCTTTGTCTCTAAATCTAGCTACCTAACAGAGTTAACCTCCCTTTTTTGTTTGGAACAAGAAAACAAGGAGCTGTGCGTGAACTGGTCCTCAGAGATGAGCTGTCATCAAAGTCGTTCTGTGGACAATAAAAGCAGTGACTGTCTGAAAGGATCCCTTCCAGAGTCTCGGGGTGGATCAGCGCCAGAGCCATTCTCCTTTGGCTGTTTCCTTTGTACCCACTGCCCCGCTGCTCCCAGCCCGGGGCTTAGTGAAACAGCTTGTTGTTATTTCTGTTTGGGTCTACGTAGACTGGGTCCCTTGGGGGAGCATGGAAGCGTAGTGCACTGCGCCTCGTGCCTGCAGCCGGGGTGCAACCTGTGCTGTGACAGCAGTCAGGGCTGAAGGGCGAGGGTGGCGAGCACAGGAGGAAAGTCCACGAGAAGCGCAGTGACCACGGTGCCTTTGGTTGCAGCCAAGGACAAAGGGGAAAAGAAGCTCTTTGGCTTTGCGTTCTCTCCCCTGATGCGGGACGACGGTACCACGCTCTCTGATGACACCCATGAGCTCTACGTGTACAAGGTATGTTCTCAGGCAGGTGGTTCTCGGTGGGCAGCCAGAGGACCCAAGGCAGTGGACTCATCCATGGGTCATAGCCAGACAGCTGCAAGCAGGCTTTTATCCTCCCCTTGGCACCCACCCCCGTCGGTAATGCCCCCTCCACTTGGAAATCCATCACCAACCCCTCGATGCCTTCCTGGCCTTGGGTCGCACGTTCTCTGACCTGCTCTTGGAGCGCCTGGTGCTGCCAGCTGTTGCAGCATGGCCTCCCACTGCAGGAGGAAGCCTCGTGCCCTGCCACGTGAGCTGCGCCAGGCAGTGTCTGCACAAAAAGCACCGTTGCCGGAGGACCTGACACCCAAGCATGTCAGATTCCTTGGAACCGGATGTTGACACGTGTCCCCACTCAGGCAATGCTCTGTTTTCCGCGCTTGCCTGCAGTGTGATGAGAACAGCACATTTAACAACCATGCGCTGTACCTGGGCCTGCCCTGCTGCAAAGAAGACTACAACGGCTGCCCCAACATCCCCTCCAGCCTCATCTTCCAGCGCAGCACCAGAGAGTCCTTCTCCATCTCCACCCAGCTCTCCTCTACCAAACTCACCCAGAACGGTAGGTCATGCTGCCCACAGCACTCTCCTCTGCTCCACGCTCTGGTATCATGTTGAGGGAACAAAAAATAGCGCATTCCTCGTGTCATCGTTAAGAGACTTCTTTTCATTTGAGGTTGAAGGAATCACTGAGCAAGAGCAGGCCGCAGAGTGCTCCCCAGTCCCAGCAGCTGGAAACTGCATGTGCCAGAAAGTGTGGATTTCAGCACCAAAGGGGCTGTTGGGACCCTCGCAGCTAGTTCTGCCTGTCCTTGCAGCTTCCGACGGCCTTTGCTAAGAGAGTCTGCCCTTGGACCCCTGGCATAGGTGGGTGACCATCTTTTGTGCTTGCTTTTTAGTGGATCTCCTAGCTCTGCTGAAGTGGAAGGCCTTCCCGGACCGAATTATGGATATCCTAGGGCGACTTCGGCATGTGAGTGGGGAGGAAATTGTTAAGGTATGTACGGATTCTACACACTTCTCAGCTGCAGCCTGAGGGACGGTAGCCTTCCCCTGCTTCTGCCAGCGATGCCCGTCTCTGAAGACCATTTCTCCAAAGACAAGCAGGAGTCACAAAGAGATGCTTCCAGGTCCGACTCAGCTCGGCTCATGTTCATTCCCAACCAAGCCCGCGGTGGCGCGTCTCAGCAGTGGATGGCTGCAGGCAGGCTCTCTCGGTGAAGCACTGTCTTAGTCTCCTCAGAGTGCCTTCAAAGAAAGGTCCAATCCAAACCCTGGCTTCCACGGGCAGATCTACTCTGGGGCGGGGCGGGGCAGGTCAAGGCAAAGAGGCCGGCTCAGAAAGTCAAGGCAAGTGTTTTTCAGGGGTGGTCGTCCAGCACTGGGGAGGGACTTACTACGCAGAGGTTGTAGGGAAATTGGAAGCATTGTGATGAGAACAAGGCCTGGGAAGGTCCACAGAGGAATTTCTTTCTGTCACAGCAGTGCACCTTCCCATTCTTCACGGGTAACCTAAGGGTTCACGGGTATTTCAGCAAGTGCACGCACAGATGTGCTGGATTCCATGGGATCTGCCTGGATTGTGATAAGAGCTGCACCAGCCCCGATACAATGATGAAAAAAATCCCCCCAAAACTAGTCACAGCTTTCTCCTTCTGTCCACATTGCTCCATTAACCAGCCTTGTATTTAAGTCTTTGGATTCCTAGGCAGAAAAGTGTAACTGTAAGAATGCTTCCACTTGTAAGTCGTATAATAAACTTGAGGGACTCGGAAAAGCTCATGGAAAGGGCCCTTATATTGCCAAGTACTTTTCTCAAAATAAGCCCGGTTCTCTGGATTGAAAAAAGAAGTTCACTGGGAAACCTGACTCCTGCACCCTAACAGTCCTGATCATCCCCCTTTAGGCTGCTTTTGTTCCAAAGTTCAAAGGACATTTAAAAGCCACGTCATTTAAGTCCCTCAAGGGTGCTCAAACTGCTGTTTGACGTGGTGTGGGTAAAGAGCACAGAATTCTTCTGAGAGGGGTGAAAAACAGACAAAAACCTTACCGCCATGCAGTCGATGTCCACTCACAGCGCCCCTGGAGGACAGGGTGGAACTGCCCCTGTGGGTGTCCGAGACTGTGACTCTTTATGGGAGTAGACAGCCTCCTCTTTCTCTCAGGGGGCAGCTGGTGGATTCACACTGCTGACCCTGCCGTTAGCAACCCTGCATGTAACCAGGGCCCATTCATAGACACAAATGAGTATCCCCAAACCTTTAGTTTCATGGCCTATATTTAGGCGATAGAACAGTGCGTTGTAAACATTTCTGGCTTCTTTTGCATCCCAGACAGCAGAATGATGGGTAGTGTTGAAGGAATCCTCTCCGAGACAGCCCAGTGGCTTTAGACACCTGCCTCCCTGGAGGTCTCACCTCCCTCCCTTAGCTCTCCCTCTCCGCTTTCTTACTGTGTAACTCTTGGACCACAAACCCGGCCGTTCATCTGTGAACACACCCAACACTGCTTGTCACTTTGTAGCTGCTGGTTTTGTCTCATCTTTCCTTCGGAATCCACACTGAAACATCCCCACCGAGACTGTAACCATCTGGAAGGAAAGACGTAAAATGAGCCCATGTCGCGTTACCCAAGATCAAGAAAACCCCACAGAATCCACAAGGAAGCTAAGAGATCCAATAAATGAATTTAGCAAAACTGCAAGATACAGATTCAACACACAGAAATCCAGTGGAATTTTACATATCAACAACAAGCTTTGTGACTGGGACATTAAGGAAACAAGTCCATTTACAACAGCATCTAGGGCAGTGGTTCTCAACCAACCCCATGTCTGTCATACTGCTCCTCGTGCGCTGGTGACCCCCAACCATAAAGTTATTTCTGTTGCTCCTCATCACTGTCACTTTGCTACTGTTATGAATCGGGCGACCCCGCTCATCTAAAGGGATAAAATACTGGGACCAAATTTAATAATTTATTAAGTTTTATTTATTTAATAAACAAAATAAATAGGACTTCTAGTACAGTATTGAATAGTAGTGGTAAGAGGAGTATCTTGTGTTGTTCCTGATCTTAAGGGAAATGTCCCCAGTCTTTGTACATTGAATTTGACTTTAACTGGATTTTTCATAGATACACTTAATCATATTGAGGCACTTCCCTTCTATTCTTAGCTTGTGAAGGGACTGTCTTATGAAAGGCTGTTGGATGTGGTCAAAGGCCTTCCTGGCCTTGATTGAAATGATCACGTGGCTCTTGCGTGTTGCTCTTCTGTTGCTGTGGTAGATGGCTGTACATGGGTTTATTTTCTAATGTTGAACCCTTACAGGCCACTCCGTGTGGGTGAGTCACCTTTCTAACATATTTCTACCCTTCAGTTGACCAGGATTGCCTGAGCTTGTTACTCTGTAGGCATGGGGTCTTGGTCGCCGTGTGGGTTCTGCTTGCCTCACAGAATGAGTGAGAAGCACACCTTCTCCTGTTTCTGAACGTTTTGAAGGACTGAGGTCCATTCTTCTGTAAATGTTTGTAGAATTCTTTGGTGAAGTCCCTTAGTCCAGGACTGCTTTTTCGCAGTAGGAGGGTAATTGTTAGGACTGATTCCATCTTGCCACGTTAGGGTCTTATAGAGATGCTGTGCTTCTTCATGAATCAACATTGGAAATTTGTGCTTTTTTCAGAAATTTGTCTTTTTTTCTAGGTTATCTAATTTGTTGGCATACAATTGTTTGTGCTATTCTCCTTTTATCCTTTTTTATTTTGTAGGGTGTGTTGTAATGTCTCTCTTCTCATTTTCATTTTTAGATAAGTACATCTTAATCTCATTCATTACCAGTCTAACTTCAGGCTTGCCAATTTTATTGATCTTTTTTTAAAAATTAGCTTCTGAAAAAAAATTATCTTCTGTAAATGATGGCAACAAATGTACAAATGTGCTTGACACAATGGATTGTGATAAGAGTCGTATGAGCCTCCAGTAAAATGATTTTTTTTTTTAAAAGAAGTGGGGGAAAAATTAGCTTCTAGTTTCATGCTTTTTCTCTTTGTTGTTGTTCTCTGTTTCGTTTATCTCTGCTCTGGTCTTTGTTATTGCCTTACTCCCAATAGTTTGGGGCCTGGTTTGTTCTGCTTTTTCTAGTTCTTGGAGTTGTAAAGTTACATTATTGATTTGCTGGCTTTCTTCTTTTTAAATGTAGCTGTTTAGATGATTACTGCTATAAATTTCTCTGTGAGCACTGCCTTTAATGTATCTCATAAGCTTTGATATGTCATGTGTTCATTTTAATTTAATTTTAAGTATTTTCTAATTTCACTCTTGATAGCTTCCTTGACCCATTTGTTGTTTAATAGTTTGTTTAGTATTGGCATGTTTTCCGATTTTTCTTGCGTTTGTAACTTCTAGTTTCACCCTTTTGTACTCAGAGGGGATACCTTTTGTGATTCAGTCTTCTTAAACTCACTGAGATCTCCTTTGCGATCTAACATGTGTTCTCTCGTGGAGACTGTTCCTGTGCCGTGGAGAAGAAGCATCTCATGCCGCTGTGGAGGGCTGTGCGCCGTGTGTCCTCTAGGTCTATGCTAGACAAGTCTTGGTCAGGCCTTCAGTCTCTTGATTGATCTTCTTTGTAGACAGTCTGTCCGTGGTGGACAGCAGGGCGTTGAGCACAATGGCTGTCATAGACCCATGCTGTCCCCCGTCACTTTGTCAGTGTTTGCTTGTCATGGTTTGAGAGTCTGGTCGGGTTCATCTGTGTTATACTTACTCTGTTATAAAGTCTCCTTCTTTTTCTAAAAGATGTCGCCTTAAAGCTTGTTTTGCTGCTAATTAAAATCACGTTCCCAGATCCCCCTTTGCTTTCTATTTGCATGGAATATTCTTTCATTCTTTTATTTTCGACTCTTTGTATGTGTATATTTGACCTTAAAAAGTGTCTCTGGTAGACAGCATATAGGCGTATCACTTTAAAAATCTATTCTGCCACATTCTACCTTCTGACTGCCATGTTTAAACCATTTGCAGCCACTGTGATTCCTGATGGGGAATGACTAACTCGTGTTGTTACATTGTGTATTTTCAGTGTCTTAACCCTTTTTGTCCCACATTTTCTCCAATACTGATGACTTGTGTTTCTTGATTTCTTTCTATAATGAACCATTTTGATCCCTTTATCCTTTCCTTTATGTGTATATTTCTAGATATTTTCTTTATGGTTACTTACCATCAAGATTACATTTAACATCTTACATGTATAACACCTTAATTTAAATTGATGTCAACTTAATTAACATACAAAACTATGTTTTGTTTGGAGAGAATCATATCCCTTCCTCCCCCCACCCCCACCATTTAGGTTGTTACTACCTTTTACATATTTATACATCCTATGCCCTGAAGTATAAATTCATACTGATTTTTATACATGTGTCATGTATACAACATGAAAGACATTACTAGACAAAAAGCCTTGGAACTTGTCCTTAAACTTAGCGTTAATTGAGGCTGGAGTCCATGGGTCTGAGAGAGAGAGAGAGAGTATGTGTGTGTGTGTGTGTGTGTGTGTGTGTTGTCTTCCTGTACTGTCTACTGCCCTTTTCCCTACTGGAGAACCGACTCCCTTCAGTTGGTCTTTAGGACAGATCTAGTGGTTGTGAACTCTCTCAGATGCTATTGATATGAGAATGTCTTAATTTTACTCTCATGCTTAAAGGACAGTCTTGCCGGATAAGACATTCCTGCTGACAGTTCTTTCGTTGGCATTGTAAAGGTATGATTTCATTACCTCTAGCCTCCTCTGAGAAGTCAGCTCTTAATCACATGGGGTATTTGATATCGATTATTGCTGCTTTCAGGGTTCTCTTTCCGTTGTAGAGTTTGATTATAGGGTCTCCAAGTGTCAGAATATGGACTTTGGGGTTTATCCTTCTTAGAGTTTGTTGTGCTTCCTAGATTTGTAGATCTGTGTCCTCTGTCAGATTGTGGCATGTGTTAGGTATCATTTCTTTAGATATTTTTGGTTACATTTCTTCCTCCTGGGATTTGGATGACGGTTGTTAGTTTTTGTTTTGCTTTATCTCAAAAAGTTTTATTGGGACATAATCTACATATGATGCAATTCATTCGCTCAGTTGTATGAAGAAAGGTTGTGCAGTCATTACCACAATCATTCTGGAGCGTTTTCTTCATTCTTGGCCGCTTTGTTATTGGCTCTCACACACTTGTGTTGGTGGATTTGAATCCACTCGGCTTTTGTTGCTCCTCAGGCTCTGTAACTTTGGACTGTCTCATCCTCTGGATCACTGTTTCTTTCGTCTGCTGGCTCAAATCTGTTTTTAATACTTCTAATGAGTATTTCATTTCAACTAGTGTATCCTTCAGTTTCAGGACTTTATTTCATAGTGTCCACCTCTTTATGTAGATTCTCATGTTATTCTTGTGTCATTTTTTCTGAATTCCTTTAGCTCTTTGAGCTTGTTTGACATTGTTGTATTCTGTTCCTCTCTGTTTATTATTTGAGTTTCCATACATAGGACTTCTTTCTCTCCATCTAGGTTTTGGAATGGGCCATCCTTTCCAGTTTCTTTGTGTGTCTTGTAACCCCCCCCACCCCCACCCCCACCCCGTGTCCTCAGAGTCAGACTGTCCTCACAATGCTCAGTACAGGTCTGTGAGAAGGTCCTCATCACCGAGGTGTCTTGTTATTTTTTGTAGAAGCCAAGGCATTAGACGAAGTGGTAACTTTCTCAATGCTCTTGAACCAGAATTGCATTTGATGGCAGTATGTGCTCTGAGAAACTCCTAAGTGGACCGTGTCCAGACGTTGGCCTGACCGAGGTTTCCATTTCCCCACAGTCCCCAGACAGATGAAAGACGCTCACCCGACTCTCAGAGCGGCCCCGACTTCACTGCCCTGCTTTGTCAGGGCTCCTTCGGCATCTCTCCAAAGTGGATACTACATAGACCACTTTCAGAAAGATCCCTCGGTCCCTCACTGCCATCCTCTCCACTGCTCTGCAGCCTCCGAGTCCCACCAGAGTGTAAGGCTGCCTTCAGTCGAGCCACAACTTGCTATCTGAACAGTCCGTTAGCAAAATCTGTTCGGTTCATTTCAGTCGTGGGTGAGGGCCCGCACCAGGGAACCGGAAAGCCAGGTGTTGGCTGAGGGTTTGGAGTGGCTGCAGAGCATCGCAGCTGCCTGCCCACCGCACCAGAGAGGGCAGGTGGAGAGGCCTCGAGGCCGCTGTCCATGGTTTCAGAGACTGAGAGTGGGCCCTTCCCAACACACAGGAGAGCTGTGCCTTGGCGGTGGTGTGGGCTCAGTTTGGGGAACTCCGGGGCTGTTCTCTGCCGCCCCAGGAGGCAGAAGGGGGGTACCAGTGGACGCGGTGCTCTGCCTGTGATTTAAGTTTGCAGTTCCTTGCCTGGAGTGCCTACAGGGGAGGAGATGGGGTTGTGGGGAGGGTCAGAATCTTAGATCTGCGTCGCGACATCATGCCAGGACTCCCGGAAGATGCGTTGGGAGCTAAATGCATTTCTATATTGACCTTGGCCTTCTGTGTAAGAGGCTCCAGCCTGAGCCCACCCTTCTTGTGCCGTTTCAGTTTCTGCAGGACATCCTAGATACGCTCTTTGTGATTTTGGATGACAACACAGAGAAGTACGGCCTGCTGGTTTTTCAGTCTCTGGTAAGACTTTTCGTTGTTCTTAATGATTCCTGTCACAGATTTCAGAAGCTGTAAGGGGGCAGCTTATTAGCTGAGTCAGCATGGAGTGTCGACGGCTTGCAATGGGAAAGAGATAGGAGTGTCACCCAAGGAAGGTCACCCAACTAACCTTCCAGGCAGACACCCTCCCTACACACACAGTACAAGCTCCAGCTTGAAGAACTTACTGTGGTCCGCTTTGGACCTCGGCTGTGCAGTCTGGGGTTCTCGGTGTCATCAGTAACCTGGGGGTTTCCTTGGCCTTGCTGACAGAGAAGCCTGTGAGCTTAAGTAGAAGCAGAAACTCCCCTTTGCTAGTCTGGGTATCCCCTGTATCCCTTTGTGCATCTATGTGGGAACCAGACTCGCAGCTGAATGCAAGTGGACCGTGACTTGAGTGGTGAGTGCATTTTACTTGGTATCTTCAATCCCTACAAGACGTGTGTGTACTTAAAGAGAAGCAGACACTCTGGTCTGCCTGGGAGATGCGGGAAGAGGTGAGAATTGAAACACACACCTGCCTAGCTTGCACCTCCGGCTCTCCGAGGTCTTGATTCAGTGGCTGGCCAGCCCTGTTACTGAAGGCCAGCCTCTCATAGGCTGATTTGGATCACACTAAAATCCGTTTTTCTGTTGTTTGCAAGTTGTTGAGGCACGCAGTGTGTGTGCCACCGACATAGGCATTCTTCTGTTGTCCCTGGTCTTTGCTGCCCCACTCAGCCCGATGCTGCAGGGAGAGGCTCAGGATCATCACATTTGAGCTCCTGGTCCGTGGGACTCAAGTGATAGGAAGAGGACAGGTCAGAGAGACACAGGTGCAGAATGGAAACCGTGCTCTGACTGCCCGAGCAGACACCGCAGAAAACACGCGAGCTGACTGCTGTTTGAGGAAGCGAGCGCCCCCGCTTCCTGCGGGGCATCCAGTGGACCCTGCTGACCGTCCCTCCATCTCTCACAGGTGTTCATCATCAGCCTGCTCCGAGACATCAAGTATTTCCACTTCCGGCCGGTGATGGACACGTACATCCAGAAGCACTTTGCTGGAGCCCTGGCGTACAAGTAAGCTGCCCCTGGCATCACCACTGGGCCCCGGGTCTGAATAGAAATACAGGCTTCAGGATAGTTTAGCTACAACCAATTAGGTCACATGTCAACCCACAGTTTACTGTGTGGCTGCCACACTTTTCCTTCTAAGAAACAGTAACAAATCTGGTGAACTTAAGCCTTAATTTCTAGGATGAGAAACAGGTGATAAGCTACATATAGTTGTAAAAATAAATGCAGCCCCAAATTAAAGAACAGTCTGTAAGAGAGAACACACAAATATAGGTTCCCCCAGTACCCCAAAGTACAGTGTTTCTATGAAACCTTTCCTAAGCCAAAATGGTATAAAGATGCTGTCACCTCCATTGTATGGAGGAAACGTGTTGAGCCTCCTGAGACCTGGGAAGTAACCTACTCGATCAGACCAAATCGCCCATAGAAGCGTAGCTACCACCACGTGCAGCATTCAGTTCCGCACCTGGGCAGGGCGCTGACAAGGCCACACTCACGGCTCCCCACACGGCAAACACTGAACGCCAGATTGGCACCTCCTGGTCATCTCGCTTCTCTCAGCAGAAACCTGTGCTAATGTGGCTCTCTTGTAAAAACCAAGTGGCACAAAGCAAGCCTTTGAAAAACCAGGGTTGCCTGGAGGGCGGACATTCGCAAACCTCCACAGATTATCTGAGAAAACATTGTTTCTCCTAACAGAGATCCACCACACGAGGAGGCTACAGCACTCCGAGGTTCGGGGCTCACTGGAGACAGTGAGCACTGTGCTCAGTGCTTTCCATGTGGCGTCCAGTCCACTGCGTCCATGATACCTGGAGGGTACTTGGACTGCCTCTTTATTTTGAATGAAGAAAGTGAGAGCCATTCAGTAACTTGCCCGAGGACACAGAGGCAGAAACGGACAGGTCTCCAATGCTTGACCACTGAGCTGTACTGCCATGTAAATACGACCCCAGTCCTCCCCATTCCACGGGGCTGACTTGGTCCTAAGGAACTAGGACAGAGAGATAAATGGATACGTTTGTTCAGAGCCTGCTATTGACTGCTATTTGCTGCAGGTTCTGCAGACACAGAGCCAGTGTAAGTCTCTGCATAGACTCCATGGTCATCCCAGGGGACATGTGCGTCAGGGCTGTGCTGCTGCTGGAGCGTGGCAAGTGTCTCGGAGCTGGAGATGTCCTCCGGTCTCAGAGGGCACAAGGGCCTCACCACCGACCCTGAGGGAGTCCTCGCTCTCCTCCCGCTCCCGCGCGTCAGCAGGCTGTCGATTCCTGTGTGGTTGCTGCAGGAAAGTGAGCATTTTAGGCTGCCTTGCTTTTCTATTAACGTCGTGGGTTTTCTGGAACTGCCCTCTTTCCCAGAGAGCTCGTTCGCTGTTTGAAGTGGTACATGGACTGCTCAGCAGAACTGATCCGGCAGGACCACATCCAGGAAGCCATGCGGGTAATGTACTGAGCTCATCGCACATTAAGGGGACCACTCCTGCAGTGTGCGTGTGTGTGTGTGTGCGTGCGTGCGAGGAATCGTGTATGTTATGTGTGAGGACACTGTAGAAATCCCGGCAAGCTGATCTGTTCTCAGCAGTGACCTCCTTAGACCTTGTACTTCCCCTGTTCCCACCATGATTTTGTCCCGGAAGGCCTTGATCCCACGTGCTTTTATCCATAAGCAGGATGATGAGCACAGAGCGCCTGGCCACCCTCCCCTGGGCGATTTTTGCCAATAGTATTCCGTCTTCCCGCCCCCTCGCTGAAGTCTCATAACCCTCTCTGACCTGTGTGTCGATCAGTGGTGCCAAAGACTCAAGTTGAGATCGTCAGTCCTTCTCCTTCCGCCATAGTCCTGGACACTGCTCCCTAGAACTGTGCTTCGGGAACAGGGCGCGTTGGCCACACTGTGCCGTCGTGACGAGAAGGGAACCTCAAAAGCTTTGCCGTGGAGGATCCTGGGGTCCTCCAGGGTCCAGGCCCCTGGTTGGGACCTTAAGACACTCCCCTGCGTGGACTGGTTCCATGACCAGGCAGTCCTGTGCTGTGCTGGGCAGCTTCCTGCCGTCACTTACCCGGCTGCTGCCATTTTTGCTGTCTGGAGCCGCCCATGAGCAAGCTCACCTCTGGTTCCACAAGTGAGCCTTCTTACCCACAGCCTCTGAGGAAATTATTGCATCTTTTTGGTACTCGTTTAAAATAAGTCCATGCTGTGTGTGTGTGTGTGTGTGTGTGTGTGTGTGTGTGTTCTTGTTTCATTTACTGAGATAGGGCACCCTGGTGACCAAAGCTAAAGTATCAATATGATTTTTAAGAAAATGATAAAATGCATGGTACTCATATAAATTAGTGTGATCATGTGTGTGTGTGTGTGTGTGTGTTCTTATACTTGAGTTATTTTTTCTTTGGCTTTGTTTTTTAACCATCTCTTCCCTCCCCCAGGCCACTCCCCACCCCCCCACCCTCCGCCTTTCCAGTTAGCAATAAAAGAACAGTAGAGTATATCTGCTTTCTGTGTCCTCATTGAATATCATGCTCACTGTCATTCATCGGATGCTGTATCAACCACTGGGAATCCCAGAGGTACCCAGGTAGAGACAACTTGGCCTTCATAAAACTTCCATTGAAGTGGTCAAAAAAGACAGTGTCCGTGTAAAACAGATAGAACCGAAAGTCAGTGAAGAAGTTGATGAGTACTGTGACATGAACACACCAGAGTTATGGGATGGACCAGTGGGGAGAAGGAGAGCAGGTTAGATCAACTGGAGAGATTGCCTCTAAGGTGAAGTCAGTGTGAAGAAGAACTGAGGACTTTCGATTCAGGCAGAGAACCGCGGGTTTAGAATTTGGTTGTGCCCAGATTATTGGACTTAATCATCAAGTCCTTTGAACAACTCTATTAAATATGCCTCAGGAGCTAAGGGGTGAGAACCCAGAGAAAACAGTGTATGGCGCACATAAGAATACCAGTAGAGGAATAATAAAAGTGAACCAAATAGAAATTGTGGCATTGAAATTACAATGACAGAAATGGGGGGAGGGGTGGCAGACAGAAGAAGCATCAGCAAATTTGAAGACAGGAAAATTGAAATTACCTACTCAGAGAAGAAGAAAGAGAAGATTGAAAGACGTGAAGACCGCCGAAGGAAACAGTCAGATGGACTAGCATGCACCTGCTGGAATCCCAGAAGGAGAAGAGAGAGAGAGAGCAAGGGGCTGTTTTAGAGTTAATGACGTCCCACAAAATACATGTTTGAATCCTAACTTCGATACCTGTAGATACTGTTTCCTTTATAATAACGTTTTCTTCATTTTTAATGGGCAGTGTCACTGTAAGTTGTGTCTTCAACAATCATTGTTGAGATAGAAGAAGCTAGTAAGCATGAAGACAGAGGAAGTCGGATGGCACATAAAGATCGCCAAGGAACAAGTCCAGACAAAAAGACAAATATCCTCCCTGAGAGCGACCAGAGTTCTCCCGCAGTCTGGTACCCTGGAGTCAGACTTCGCGCCTCCCGTAGTGTTTCTGACAAAGCAGCACTGAGAAAGGAGAGGCGGAGTGGATGTTTGAACAAAGACAAGGAGTACCCAAAAATGTCCCTGGAAAAAAATGGATTTAAAAGATAAAAATAAAAAATAGACTTAGCCCTCAACACAAGCTCCATCAAGTTTAAGACACTTTTTTAAGCGATGCTACCAGTCATTTGGCCCGTTCCTAAAGAGCTGAAGATCCTAGGAATTTAACCATGTCAACAGGACATTAAATAACATAATCTTAAACAACAAATGGGTCCCAGAACAAATCACAGGGCAATGAGACAATATGTGGAGACACATGAAAACGCAGCGTACCGAAATACATGAGCTGCTGTGCAGTCACTGCTCGGAGGGCAGCTGATAGCTGCGAATCCCTGCAGTGCCTATGTTCAAAGTGGAAGGTCTCTGTATGTATCTGTCTGCTCTCAGTAGGCATCGAGCATCGACAGAGCATACAGGGGCCAAGTCATGAAAACTTCTAACCAAAGAACTGAGACGGTCTTGAAAAAGAAGCCGTTGGAGAGCTCACACTTTCGATTTCAAAACTTACCGCAAAGCTCCCAGGGTTTGCGTGAGGATAGGTCTGTAGACCGACGGAATAGAACTGAGCGTCTAGAAACAAACCCCTGTTTCTGAGGTTGATTGGTTTTCACCAAAGATGTGAAGTTTGTCCAATCAAGAAGGCACAGTCTCCTCAACAAATGGTGCTAGGGAGACGAGCTATGACGCCAGGACCCCGTCTTATGCCTTATCTAAAAGTTAACACAACGGATGAGTTTGTAAAAATATAAAAGCCTTAAAAGAACGTCGATATTACGCTTCATGACCTTGAGTTTTGCAAGGGATTCTTAAAGGGTGACAGCCAAGAAAATCAATAAATTGTACTTCATCAAAATGAAAATATCCAGAAGATACAAAGGAAGAGCTCTTAGAACTCAACCACAAAAAAGACACACACACACACACACAGATCCAAGTAGAAAAATGGAGAAAGGCTTTAGTAGACATTGCTGTCCAGGAAGCACATGAAAGGATGATCAGCACCTTTCCCATTACACAAACAACAAAACCTGCTGCTGTGCAGGCAAGCCTGCCCGAGGGACCCGCAGCACAGACTGGAATGCCCCTGGGTTTCTGGGGCTTCCTGGTAGAAGCCTATTGCTTCCTCTTTCTTCCAGGGAACAGCTGGTGGTGGGTTCAAACCGCCAACCTTTCAGTTAGCAAGAAATACGTACCCCCCCAACCTCTGTGGCTTCTCATTAATCTTTAGGGAAATGTGAATCAAAGCCACGTTGAGATGCCACTTCACACTCACTAGGCTAGCTGTAATAAAAATATTTTTAAGGTGTTTAAGTGAGAAGTGACAAGTGTGGAGAGGATGTGGAGAAATCGCCACTTGCATTACTGTGGAAATGTAAAGTGGTGTAGCTGCTGTGGAAAACAGTTTGGCAGTTCCTTGAAAGACACAGAATTAGTGCACGAACCAGTAATTCTACTCCTAGGAATTGACCCAGAATAATGGAGAGAAAGCATTCAGGCAAATACTGGTGCAGGAGTGTTCCTGACAGCATTATTCACGGTAGCCAGAGTGGAGACCACCGAAATGTTCCTCAGGTGGTGAGCAGAGAGACAAAAAGTGGGGCATGTGTACAACAGCATGTTCTCCAGCCGTAAAGAAAGCTGACGCGTGATGGCGCGGGCGAGTTCTGGGAGCACTGCCTGGTGGGCGCAGAGCATCTGTTTGGGGATAAAAGTCTTTCGGAAGCAGATGTGGTTGCACACCACTGATCGTGCACCCAGCAGTGGCCGAAAGGGCACGTGTTTACATCGGTCCCCCCACAAGTTAGAGGAACAAAAGCCCACGAGGAAGAAGAGAAGGTTCTGCAGCCGCCTGTGGTGATCACTGTACAACTCTTGTTGAGATGAGTGAGTTCCTGAACTGTATGACGTGTGGGTGAAGGGCTCATGGAACTGTTAAGGAAGGAACTAATGACGAGGCAAACAGAAGCTAAGTGTGTCTGCAGCCGTGTGACGGAAAAGGAGACAACCATAAATACAAACCAGCGTCAACGGGCCACGGCCCAATGCTGACGAGGAACAAAGGCCTGTGAACCGTGTTGTGCGCTAATGAAAGGAGCCCCTGGAATGTTCGGGGGCAAGTGGAAGGAAAGGACAATGGGATTTGTCCACCAGCTTTTAAAATCACTTGTAGGTAAAGATCAAAATCAGATGAACTATGTTGATGAAGAGTGCCTATTTTGAGCATAAAGAGCAGGGATGTGAGTACTGTAAAAGAGAGACTGGGGGGGGGGCAGCATGTGAGAGAGAGAGAGAGAGAGAGAGATGCTTCTAGCATGTTGGTAAGGTTGGCTTTGTCCCTGGTAGTGATGACAGGAGGTTCTTTACAGTCCTGGACCCTTTATAGAAATGAGCCCACATTCTGTCATTCCTTACACAGTGTCTTCTAGGGCAGGCCAGTGCCAACTCAGTGACCCTCCCCGTACAGCAGGGACACCCCCCCCCCAGCTCCTCGACCATTGCTGTTTGAACTATTCTTGCGTTGGTGTGACTACAACGGGTCTGTTTTCTCGTGCCAGATCTTCTGACAGATGGGTAGATTCTAAGAGGTAGCTTGGGAATTGTTTCCTTTGATGTGCTTCAAGTAATTGAGCTCTGTCTGTTTCATCCTCGGTTAACTTTCTCCCCCATGTCTCTGCTTTTTCAATGTCTGAGAAATCTGTGACATGGCTTTGATTAGACAGCGTCATCCTGGGTCTTCAATCTGTTCTCTAAAAGATCATCTTCTGTGGCCCCAAAACAGCAGGGAGGGACTCTTCAGAATCAGATTATTCTCCCAGAATGTTTCCTGGGAGAGGCCACCTCTGTACTCATCGTGAGGTGGTTGTCACAGGTGAGCCGGTCTGGAAGGGAGCTGAGAGAGGGTGGATGTGCTTCCTGGGACAGCTTGTCTCCCACCAGCCACAGCCCGGTGGGAAGGCTCTCCGAGTGGAGCTCCTAATGGACGGACGGTCCTGCTGGAACACAGTGGAGACAAGTTCTCACATCATTACCTGTGGGAAGGGGGAAAATGCAGAGAGGATGTAGTGTGTGTGTGTGTGTGCGCGCGCGCGGGCCCCACTCTTCGTGAATTACACTAGCTCCAAACCATCCATGGACTCTTCGTTCCAGAAGCATAGAAAACTGTGCTGAAATTGTTTCACGATTCTCTCAGTAAGAGTCAGCTGCTGCACAGTCACCATTTGGGTGTTCAAGAGAAAGAGAAATGAAAGTCAGGTACCTGCCCCCACCATGGATTAGCCGTCCCCTTGTCCTCTTCCCCTGAGAGGTGAGTGCTGGCCCCGTTCATGCCCCATTTCTTTCCCCGCCCCTGCAGGCCTTGGAGTACCTTTTCAAGTTCATCGTCCAGTCCCGTATCCTCTACTCCCGGGCCACCTGTGGGATGGAGGAGGAGCAGTTCCGGTCCAGCATCCACGAGCTTTTCCAGTCCATCCGGTTTGTGCTCAGTCTGGACAGCAGGAACTCTGAAACACTCCTGTTCACTCAGGTGTGTGAGCTACTGGGGAGCCCCTTGTCTGTGACAACCAGTGCTGCCTCATGTTCCAGCTCCCAGAGTCAGGGGAGCCTGCAGGGTCCCGGGTCTTGGGAAGGGGTGGTGTACAAGAGCTTGCCCGGTAAAGCAAAGCACTGCTTGGACTTCAACACCAGCTCTGCCCCGCTGCCTACCTGACAGCAACTCCCAGCTCTCTGTGGCACGGGAGCTCCCTCTGCATCCCATTCCATCCGCTGCCACAGGGCTGAGCTTTTTAAGGAACATCTTGTCCATAGATTTCCAGCCTATCTGGGGCTTTGCTTCCTTACTAGCCACTCCATTAGCGAAAAAAAACTTGAGGCTAGTATTTGTCCGTTCAGAGACTGAGGGTCCAGTCGATTGGCACACCGCAGGAGTAGCTAGAAAGTGAGGCCAAAGAATTAGGATTTGCTTTTTATTAGAGCAGTCAGCCTGGGACGGACATTTGCTTCCTTATTAAAAACACCTGGCTGATATGTTGATACTATCCACACAGGATAATATCTCTCACACCCCACCACAAAAGAGTTCATTCCTTTTCTAAAACAGTTGGCAGCATTTCACCTCATAATGTTGTGGGGTTTTGAATTTTTTAAAGCCAAATATTACATCAAAAAAAACAAGGAAAGGGGAGGCAGTGTCTCATGTTTGCTTACCCTGGTACTGCTGGTCCTTTCCTGCGTGTGAGTGTCTTTAAACTCTGTCTTCTCTAAGGTTGAGCAGTCTGCTGTCTGTTTCCGTTTGTATCTCTGTTGCCCCTCGATACCCATAGAGCGCTCAGCCTGGACAGCAGAACAAAACGGGGAGCCAGGCTGCATACAAGAGTAAGAATAATGCTGGCAGCCCATGTACCAATGTGCTCAACACAGTGGATGTGTGTATGGATTGTGACAAGAACTGTATGAGTCCCCAATAAAACGATTTACATTTTTAAAAAGAGAAAGAATGCGTGAAGGTCCCCAGGTGCCTCCCTGACGAAGACGTCGCATTTCAGGGTCTCACCTCCCCAGCGCTGCAAACTCCCCTCTTCCTCTGCTTGCTCCTTCCCTAGCCCAGTCAGTCCTGCCAACGGGGCCATGACCCTCTCTCCTCCCCTAAGCCAGCAAGGAGACAGGGGGAGCTCAGAGGCAGACAGTAGAGTCAAGGAAACACCGAAGACCTCACACCGCCTTCCACTCCACGACACATTCTTCCCTTATTCGCATACGCAGCTCAGACCTGCTCTCAGCGGAGATGGGGATGGGGGCCAGGCCTCCTTGATCTCCAGGCTGGTGTTGCATGAGCCCAGAACTCTCTGCAATATATCATGGAGTCAAGGGAACTTAGGTCCTTGGTTCTGACCACGGGAAGGCATTAAGGTGAAGGTGTCCTTCCGTCTGATGGGGAAGTGTAGGGACTCAAACCTTTTCAGAGAGAGCTCTTGATGAGGAAGTGCCTGTTCTTCCCTTTGTCTTCGAATCTAACTGTGCATACGGATATGTTCTCATGCTGGCTCTAATTACTGCCACACAGTCTCCTTGACATGCTAGAGTTGCATATCTGCAGATGGAATTCCTGTCAGCTCCACCCGTGTGCCTGGCCTGAGCATAAGACCAGCATGTAGCCGGCCAGCTTCTCCATGGCCTGTGTCTCACGGACTGGACCCCTGCCTGCTGCTGAGTGGAGGTCAAGAAAACAGCTCCCCACCCCCACCCCCTGTCCCCACCTGCCACTCAGGAAGAGTGAGCTCTTACCTCCTTTTTCCAGGGAACCCGCCGTTTCCTTCAGGCTTTGCGAACCCTGGGTGGGTGCTGTAAGAACTGAGAGTGAACAAAGCCTCCTTCAGACTGCTTTCACTGGCGGGGAGAAGACCAAAGCCCAGTCTTTATGCAAGGCCTCTTGTGTGCCAGGTACTCTGCTGGAAAATTGACAGACCTATTGTTTTCCTCATGATACTCCCAGGAAAAGAGAGCGATCACCCTCCCCATCTTCTAGGGGAGAAAGCAGAATCAGGCAGGAGCTTGCACACGGTAACGAGGTGAATGCTGAAGCTGGGGTTTAAACTTAGATTGGTCTAATTCCCAACGTCCCACCACCACCATTTTCCCCCTCTTATATTGCTCTGCTCCCAAAAGCTTTGAAACTACTTTCAGATTGACCTCAAGAGATGAGAAAGACACTCAAAGCCTGAAAGAGAAGTCTATATACACACACACACACACACACTCACAACAGATCTCCTGCAGCACTGGACTCACACGCTAGCTATCAGCAGTCCTCAGGAGCTCGTGACTAACTTTCTATGTACGGTTGCCATAGTTTTGTGTGTAGACATGAGGTTGCCAGGCGTCACACGTGAAGGCAGCGCTGCCCAGAGTCTTCAGATGTTAGGATCGCACGTACCGCCGCTGCCCTGGGGAACGGCCAGGCCGCAGAGCTGCTGGCTCATTGTCTCCGACTGGGGCCCAGGCTCTGCGGTTGCAGGTGCTCAGCGTGTTCCAGCCGTGCTTTCGTTGAGGTCCCTGGCTTGAGGTGGCCCTACCACTGGACAGTCAAGGCTTGGTCATAGAGACAAGCAAGAGCCACCCAAAAACCCAAATCCACTTTCTGAGCACACCCAGCTAGGGCTCTTGACGCTGCGGTGAGCACGTTTCTCGTTGGGCTCCCTTCCCGTGTCAGCACATGCCTTACCAAGTTTTCAAGGGGCCCGGGGCCCAGGAGGCTTTCTTGTTTCGTCCTCGGTTCCTCTCGTTCTGCGTGCTGTGCCGTGGGAGCTGCTGTGCTGGCCAGTCTCTAGGCCCAAGGAGAGCCCGCCGGAGGCAAAGACCAACCCTGCAGGGCCGTTTCAAACTCTTCTGGAGCAGTAGCGTTGTCTGAGCCGCCGCCTCCTCCGAGCTAATCACAGCCCTCCTTGCTTCCCCAGGCCGCACTCCTGAACTCTTTCCCCACCATCTTCGATGAGCTGCTGCAGATGTTCACCGTGCAGGAGGTGGCCGAGTTCGTGAGAGGGACACTGGGGAGCATGCCCAGCACTGTGCACATCGGGCAGTCCATGGACGTGGTGAAGCTGCAGTCCATCGCCAGGACTGTGGACAGCCGCCTGTTCTCCTTCTCCGGTAAGTCAGTGGGGATGAGCGTCCCGTTTGCCTCTCTTCCAATTTGCCTGCCTACCGATGGTGAGATGGGAACCGTGAAACCGCCGTGGCGTGTTGGCTCGCCGGTCATCTAACTGCATCGGGCTCGTTAGTGGGACCAGCTGGGTTGTACAGTCCTTGACCACAGAGCCCGCGGGCATCCAGAGCATGTTCCTGCATATATCTCACTCCATCTTCCACCTCGTGGCCGTAAATGCCAAGGAAAACATTAGCACCCCATTCTACAAGGGAGGGAGGGGGTCTCTCCATCCTGGGAGGAACTGGACGTGTCTGTGCCTCAGAGTGGGCTCCTAATGAAGCTTGAAATAAGAGTCAGGCTTCCTGAATTCAGGAGTCTCGATAGCATTCCTTCCTGAGGAAAACGCTGTCCACTAACAGCGCAGAGAAAGAAAAGGAAAAGCTTTGAGCGTGGGCACTGGGACGGGTGCTGTGGGCACCCTGGTTATCAAGGGCTTCTGACAAGCAAAGGCTGTCCCCCCAGTTCCTTCGCACCCAATCAACTGTCTCACAAGCCTGAGAGGAAGTAGGTCCAGGCCTGACACTCGCAAAGGCAGGGATGCCAGACGTGGTGGCCAGGGCCTGGCAAGGACAGCCCTGTAAACCACAGCAACTCCACAAGCCCAGACACTGTGTTGTTCATACCAGACATCCCGGCTAAGTAGAATTTCACCACGGCTGTGCTTCCTGTTTGGAATAAAATGATTCAAGAGACTTTCACTGGCGGCCACCCTCTGACATTCCCCCTGCACAAAGGACCGTGGGGGCAAGTGGGGCTTGAAATGAGAAAGAAAGGAGAGAGATCACTACTGGGGGACACCTCGGGACCTCCAGGCCACAGGCCGTGAGACTGTGGGCTCCAGGGCCTGCTGTGAGGCCAGCCCCTACGCACGCACATACGCACACGTGCACCCGCACAGCACCGCTGGGTTCCAGCAGCCTGCGCTCCTCTGAAGCCCTCTCTCTACTCTGCCCCTTTTCTCCTAGAGTCCCGGCGCGTCCTGCTCCCCGTGGTCCTCCATCACATCCACCTGCACCTCAGACAGCAGAAGGAGTTGCTGATCTGCTCGGGGATTCTAGGCAGCATCTTCTCCATCGTCAAGACCAGCTCTCTGGTAGCAACCCCAGCCCCACTGCTCCTGGCACTGCCCCCCCTGGTTCTGTTCTGTGTCCCTGGCAGCCCGGCAGAGACCAACCCAAGGGGCTTTCCTCAGTGGCAGGAGTGAACGGAGGCACACACGGCCCCAGCAGGCTTCTTAGTACAGCACATGCTTGCTATGTGAAAAAGCCGCACCAACCCCCACCCAGAAGCCCTGCTTCTGTGGCACCGGAAGCCCAGCCCATGCCTATGCTGTGGCGCTGTCAAAAGGATGGAGCTGGCTTCCTGGGACTGTTCTGGGCACACTCACACGTTGCTCACTGGGAGGCACACTCAGGCTGGCAGGCAGCTTGCCCATTCAGACTTCCTGTCAGCTTCTTGACAGCCCGGGTTCACCCACGTGGCCTGCCCACCCGTGTCCAGTGCGGTCAGGGTGAGGCAGGTGCACAGAGCTTTGAGCCCATGGGGTAGGGGACTACTTTAGGACTGAGCTTTCAGCTGCCAGTGTCTGCGTTCTCTCTCTCTCTCTCCCTCCCTCCCTTCCTCCCTCTCTCTCCTGCCTTCTCTCTCTTCCTTCCTTGTGAATGAAATCTGTGGTGGGAGAGTCAGGAGGGAGGGAAAGAGTCCAAGAGAGCTGTGTCCGGCAGGAATGAAGCCAGGAATATGTTTGGGGATATTTATTCCACTTACTTGTGCTAACAGGATTAAAACACATTTCTTAGAAATTTTGGACGCGGTAAGGAAATAAAGAGAAAGAAGTTAAGACCTCCCAGAATTCACCTAAGATATGGTCCTTGCAGGATAAAGCTTCAAGTGCTCTTAAAAGGAAGGCCACTGGCCAGGCGATCAGGACACGAGCAATGAAGTTGTCCACACAGGCAGCAGAGATGCCCAAAGAAAGAGGAACCCTGGTGTCAGCAGAGAACAGAGACCTAACAGAGGGCTCTGCTCGCCAGACTGACTGAGAGAGCCATCTGGTGCCGGGGGCCCAGGCGGATGTGACCATGATGTTTGCTCCTGACTCCAGGCAGGGCTGGGCAGTGCCCCTGCCCACAGGCTGCAGACAGAGACAAACGGGCTCCACTAGTAGGTTCTACGAGTCGCCTCAGGCCAGACCTAGGAGTGTGGGCTGCTGACTGGTGAAGGAGAAAGAGCAGAGAAGACACACACCAAAAAAAAGATGTGGAGAGGGATGGGGAGAAAGAGGGCAGGTAAAAGCCTGAGGGAGCTAGATGGTGTGGGGACGCCGGCACCTGGTGCATGTAAAAGACTGATAGGACCAGCTCGGCTCAACAGGTAAGAAAGGTGACTTTGGCCCCAAGTATCTCTCTCTGGCCCAGGAGCTGCTCGGGTCCTTCATGGGAAATTCGGCAGAGAAGAAGGCCATTGGAGGGTTGGGTGGGGGGCGGAGGAGGACAGCAGAGAAACCCTCTGTCTGCCCCGCACTCTAGCCTCAGGCACAGTGGCTGCTAAGCGGCAGGTGCTCAGGGGAGGCAGGCAGGAAGACTTTGGGACTAGTGGTCACATAAAGAGGCAGGAGGAGGGGCAACAGGACACCTGGGAGAATCAGACAACAGGTGTCAGTCTGGCTGTGAGAGGCCGCCACACTCTGAATGCTGAGCAGAGGGAGGGGCTGGAGACAGACCTCCGTGAGGAGCCCAGAGAGGGCCGCGGCAGGCCATCGTCCTTCCGGTGGACCAGGGACAAGAACCAGAGAACTGGAGGGCAGCAGTGAGAGTTGGGAAAGATGGAGACCACCCAAGGAGGAGAGCCTGAGGAGAAAGCGGGGTCCTTCGAAAGACCAAGAGCCTTCTCTGTGCGTCAGCAGCCGTGAGGGGCTCCCACCACACCCTGTAGCGTGACCGCTCCACCAGCTCCCTGAGTGTCAGTCAGCCCTCCAGAGCCATGCTTGCTCCTGGCTATTCCAGGGACATCGACGCACACATCCAACTCTTTGCTTCTGCTTGTGTGTTGAAATGAATGCCTCTGTCTGAGAGCCAGGCTGGTGCTGACAAAAGGCGAGGCCCTGGGCCGCTTGGCACTGCATGCTGGTGAGGCTGAGGCGCCAGCCCAGAGACCCCCCATGGGGCTGATGGCGTGCGTGCTGCCAGCTGCAGCCTGGCCTAGCGTGGGGCTGACGGTGTGCTCTCTGGCCGCTCCCCCCAGGAGACAGACGTCCTCGAGGAGGTGGAGATGATGGTGGAGAGCCTCCTGGACGCGCTGTTGCAGACTCTGCTCACCATCATGAGCAAACCGCACGCTCAGGAGGCGGTAAGAGGGCAGCGCTGCCCGCAGTGCACAGCGGAGATCACTGTTAGTAACTAACACTCAGGTTTTCTTGCCTTCTGCTCTAACCCGGGGCTCCTCCACGCCACCCCCATCTCACCCACCACGGTCTGTCCCAGCCCCCTCCTCTGCATGCCGCCCCCCTGCCCTCAGCCGTCTGATCCCCTCTCCTCTCCACTCTGAACCGCAAGCTGACTTTATGGCAGATTCAGGACCTTGGGTTTTTTTGCCCTTGATGTCCTGGGCAATAATATCTCCGGTGACATTTGCTTTTGCCCCCAGTCATGTTCGACTGTGTGGACTGGAGCAGGGGTGCGTGCCGTGCCCTGAGCAGTGCGGAGCTGGCGGTGGGCGATAAAAGGCCCTCTTACCAAACCACAAGCAACCCAAACTCATCGCGTGGTCAGTTCCCACTCCTGTGGCCCCACAAGACAGGCTCCGTCACCGTCATTCTTTACAGGAGTCGAATGCCTCTTCTTTCTCCAGCAGGCCCACTGGTGGTTTCGAACTGTCAGCCTTGTGGGTGGCAGCCCAACTTATAACCCACTCCATCGCCAGGGCTCCCCGCCGCTCGTGGAGGCTTTCCCAAGTGACGCACGCAGGACAGAAGAACTCCCTCCGAAGCCTTGTGCACACATCCACAACTCTGCTCTTTCCCCCGCAGTGTGTATACCCCAGCTGCAGTAGAAATAGGACGAGGCGGACTGGCACTGGAATTACCTGAATCATGGAGTGTGGATCTAATTAGAAGGGAAAGCACAGGGGAGAGGCAGCATCCTGGGCCCAGTGCCCCTGCTTCCATGCTCAGAGTGGACTCGGTGTCTGTATTAGTCTGGGTACTTAGGAGAAACAAATCCACAGAAACTCATGGATAAGAGAGAGTTTTATGTAAAGAAAGTGTGCATCGCGAAAACATCCCAACCCAATGCTGCCCAAGCCCACAAGTCCAACATTAACCCATTAACCCAACACCAGTCCACAAAGTCCTCCACCTCACAAAACAGAGGCAATGATGCCGACTGCAGGAGGAAAGCTGAGTCAGTGAATGAACAAGCATCTCAGCACTGGCAGGGGTCTCCACACGGCTGCTCCAGCACCCAGGGCTGCATCGGGATAGGTCCATGTGGCTTCTTCTTGGGGATGTCTTGTAGGAAGTCAATCTTGCAAGCTGAAGCAGGGAACTGACTAAGGCAGCTGCACCCTGGTGCGACCATCAGAAACCAAGAGACCCGAGAACTAGAAAGGCGAATCTCACCACCCATTTATCCCGCCGCCTTTCAATTAGCCCCACATGTGATTATCGGCCAGGTTGGCACAATTAACTAACTCAGTGCCTTATTCTGATGTGTGGACCCCCAGCATCCATCTGGGCAGAGTCCTCTGGTTGGCAAGTGGAAGGCCGCAGTGATCTATTTGAAGAAACCCCATGTGGTAGCAGACCCCGCAGTGCCAGGCTAGGAAGAGCAGGCCCACTCCGGACAAGCAGGGGTTCCAGAGCCCTGGGCCTTGGCAGGAGTCGCTGGTCCCTTCAGCACCCCTGTCGAACACCGTCATGAAAACATGCACCCCGGCAGGTCCTGATAGCCCGATGTGCTAAGCAAACACCTACCCTCAGTGCTTTCCACCGGCCCCACCGGCTTTAGGCAGTTCATCAATATTAACTCATTTAGCAATACTAACGAAGCCATGCATTTTTGTATGGATGATAGTAACTGCACTGCACGCTGCTCTGTGCTATACTGCAGCAGGTGCATTCCTTCACAGGCTCCTCCATCTGTCAGTTTGCGTACCACCTGTATACAAAACTCACCACCATCGAGTTGGTGCTGACTCACAGCGACCCCCAGGGGTTTCCAAAACTGTAACTGTTGACAGGGGTAGAAAGCCCCGTCTTTCTCCCACAGACCTGCTGGTGGTTTCTAACTGTCGGCCATTCGGATCGCAGTCCAGTGTGTTACCGCTACACCACTGGGGCTCCTTGGCATGTAGACAAGGGGCCTGCAAAAAAAGCTTGTGGGAATAAAAGATAAGGGTTTTTTCCTCCCACGAGCATTTTGCATCCCCATTATATATGTGTGATGATTTCAGCTGTCTAGAAAGGATTTAAGGAGCCCTGGTGGCGTCACGTCAACCTGGTGGCACTCGGTTGCTAACTGGAAGGTTGGCGGTTCAAACCTGCGGCAGCTGGGAGAGAGACAGGGGCAACGGGTGCTCCCATAGAGGGTGCAGCCTGGGGAATCCCCGGAGGCAGTTCCCCCCTGCCCTGAAAGGTCGCTGTGTGCAGATTTGGTTTGTTGGTTGGTTGAGAAGGATTTGAAAGACTGGAAACTTCTTGTCAGAGCCCCACCTGTTGGAAAGCATTTACAAACCATCCGAGGGAAGTCCTTTTCCTCCCTGCCTCCTGAGAAGGCAGTCTGACGAGCGAGCGGGCCGGGCGTGCTCCCCTGCCCCTAGCCATTGACGCTGTGAGACAGGCAGGGTCTTCAGCACCCTTGAGACAGGGCTTTCTGCACTACGCCCAGTAAGAACTCGAAGACATTGCTTAAGGATTCGTTTTTATTCTCAGATGTCTTCTTTAAAGTCTGTAGTTCTCTCACAAAGCTGGGTGTGATCCCTCTGCCTTCCAGCCCCGTACCCCGCGGAAGCTCTGGGCAGCCCCGAAGAGGAAGGCTGCTCCAACCTCGGGAAGGGGGGTCTCAATTCTGAAGTGCCCTGTTCCCAGGAGCCCCTCCGGGGAGCGAGTTGACCAGGACTTCCCAAGAGAGCGAGCAGAGCGTGTCTGCCTGACTTTACAGGGGCCCTTTGGTGTCAGCAAGCGGCGTTCACAGGAAAGAAAGCTCGTTTTCAGGGCCAGAGCTATCACCTCCCTTCCATGCTCATGGGGGGCCATCTCAGACCCTCCCTCCTGTCCTTGCCCTCTGCGAGCCGGGAGGGGCCCACAGCCCCTGTGACTGACTGTGCTGAGTGTTCTTTTTCTCCCCCTCCTCCCCCTCCGTTGGTCCCCAGGGTGAGTACGTGTCCTGCCTTCTCTCGCTGCTCCGCCAGATGTGTGACACCCATTACCAACACCTCCTGGAGAACTTTCAGAGCAAAGATGAGCTCAAGGTAGGCATCGGAGCGTGGGCCTCTCACGCAGGACAGGGAGTGTGCAGCCAAGACCCCCAGGGCTCTTCCCTGCGTGGGCAGCAAGTGCACACAGCCCACACTGCTCCACAGCCCAGTGTGTGGCCTCCAATCACGCCCCCAGAGAGTGGACTGACGAGTCGCCCCTGACTGCTCCCTGTCCTGTGACCAGGTGCTTCTGTGAGGTTACTACTCTGGGCCACACAGATCAATAAGCCAGGATGCCTTCCTTGTGTATGGACTTGATAATCCCCTGATATTTCGCCCCTGCAAACCATTCTTTGCTGTTTCACAGCAAGAATAATGCTGACGACTTTCCTCTATTGAAATGTGTTTCTGGGAGATGTCTACAGAGAACAAAGGCCAGCCCTGCACAGGGGCTCCCAGACTCTGCATCCAGCGCGCTGGGAGGTAGAGAAGGCAGGGGAAGGGGCCTGTCCACGCCTTGACCCTCTCCTCGGCTTGCATCTCGGTGTCTCTTCCCCGAGCGAGGGCTGCTTCAGCCTCTATGTCTGTGCTCTGCAACCGCATGTCACAGTGATCCGTCCCGCGTTTCCATCTGTGGTCGGTAGTCATCAGACGTGTCCACCAAAAATACCTGCCACCCCTTCCAAGTGTTGTATCCATCTCTCTGCAGACGTGGTCTCTCTGTAGACAGATATCGCTAACCGTGCCGGTGATCCCAGTCTCTCACATTGGAGGGCCAGAGCCCACATTCAGTAGGGCAGGGCGCGAGCAGGCTGCAGAGCCCAGAGCCCACATCCGACTGCTCTGGCGCAGCCTCATCCCATGCATGTGTTACCCAACTGTCCTCAACCAGAAGCTCAGGCTGACACCAATTTTACATTTTAATTAAATGTTTGTTTTTATCAAAGCATTATGTGTACATAGATTTGAAAGCCAAATCGTATTACTAAGCTTATAACGGAAAATAGTGGTTCACTGGCTCAGCCTATCCATGCCCACTCACCGCTCCCCGAGAGCTGCCACCCTCGATGGTCGCTGTTCTTCAGGAAGCTTCTACTGCTATTTTAGACCGTTAAGCCACTGCCTGCCATCCACGTCTTTCTTCCTGGGGAAAAGGAGGATGGTTTGCCTGAATCGTGCATACGTCCTTCCCCGAATCCTCCCATGATGGATTTCTGTAGGGTCCACCCTTACTGTGGGGAGCAGTGGGGAACAGAGGTGCCGTGTGGATCACTGGTGCATGTACATTCCGCGGCACCAAGTCCATACCAGGGTGAACAATGCTCACGGCTATGTGTCTCCAGGTATTTTATCATCCCGAACTTCCTGCCCATTACAGTGGCTCCCCTTCCCCTCTCTCTGTGGCCTCTGCTACCCTCTACTTTCCCTTGTCTACAACTTGGCTGACCTCAGTCCCCATGGTGTGGCTTAGACGATATGTCTCCTCCTGCCTCTCTCTTTCCTTTGGCACAAGGTCTTCAGGGCTCACTCGTGTTCTAGCATGTATCAGAACGCCCTTCCTTGTTAGGGCCGCATAGCATTTTACTGTACGTCTGTCATGCTGTGCTCACTCACTCATTGGGCAGCACACCTTGGGGTGCTTCCACTTGGGCTATTGTGAGTCACGCTGCTGTGAACACTGGTGTCAGGCTGCCTGCTGAGCCTTGCTTTCCGGCCTTTGGGGTGGATATCTAACTGTATCTACAGTTGAGATTGATAAGGTAGTTCACGCTGAACCTCGTGTGAGGAGACCCCAAATTGGACCATTTCCCATGCCCACCCGCAGCAGACAAAGGTTTCCATGTTTGCACATCCTCTCACCTACACGTCATTTTAATTTTCCTTAATGATTGTTTTTATTGCCATCCTCATAGCTGTGAAGTGGCATCTCCATCTCCTCCTGGTTGTGGTTTCCACTGCTGCCCTAAAGACACCCTGGCGGCATCATGGTGACGCCCTTGGTTGCTAACCGAGAGGTTAGCATTGCAAACCCGCCAGCCGCTCCAAGGGGAAGATGGGGCTTTCTGCTCACATAGGGTGACAGCCTGGAGAGCCCTGTACAGGGTGTCTGATTCGGGATCGACACCGTGGGCTGAGTGGGGTCATGGCTTGGGACGGAACCCTGGCTGTCCCCGGCCCGCAGGAACGTCAACGCAGACCCTGGAGGAGGGAGTGGGAATTGAGGGGAACAAGAGACACGAGAAATGGAGACAAGACAGTATTCTGATCAAGTCTCGTTTACTGAGCAGAAGGCAGAGGCTTAAATACCCAATGGTGGGCGGGTAACATTACATCATATGCTAATAAAGTGAAACAGGTAGTATCCAATAATCACGCAGCTACCAAATATGGAAGAAATGGCAGGCATCAGTCCTCAAACAGGTCCGCATGTAAATGAGGTGCACTTGGACGGTCCACATGCAAATGAGGTGCACTTGGATGCCTGGCGGA